CTTAAGAAAGTTGCCTGTCATTCTGTCATTCAGTTTGCGTTTGCCTTGCATCACAAAAGTTGAGACACATTTGCCCATCTACCCATCTGCTCCTACAATTATGGCAAGTACTTTCTAGGTCTCCGTGCTGTTCTGGGTGACAGGAGGAGAGAAACACAGGATGCTTCCTATCCTCAATGGGTGTAGGTTTTGCGGATAATCGATGGTATGCCCACTGGTAAGGCCACTAACAGTGACAATACACATATTGTATCACAAAGATATTTCTTCATGGGTCAAGCCAGTACTTTTATTTCTAGGCACTTACTGTATGCTTTGGTGTTATTGTACAGGGTAGGAGAGTAGTAGCATTTTAAACTGTTCTGCATAGCTTCCTGACTTAAAGCCAGCTCTTCCATGCGGTACACAGGGAGGGCAGGGCTGGTCCGGGCATTCTCTAGCCTTCCCGGTGAACTCCATGTCTGCTAAAGGCTGATTCTGGGGGTGCCTGTGGGTCTGACAACCTGCAGGCTGAGGGACTGCGCATGCTCAAAACCCCAGAGGCCTCCGGTTGGAGCTCTGGTGTCCACTTCCCTGTGGGGTAAGAGTTCCCCAAGGACGTGGGGCTCTCGGGCCGTCCACCCCAGCACTCCAGGACCCCCTGATGGTGTGTGGGGCCTGCTAGGGAGAAAGGCCACCGGAGCTGAAGGGACTAGGGGAGACCCTCCTCCCGCCCATAGGCGGGTGCGTGCGGAGAAAGAAGGCGTCACGAAAGCGGGGGCGGGGCCGCGGCAGGGAAGGAGGCCCCGCCCACAGGCGAGCGGGGACGGGGATTGGCCCCGCTAGGCTGATTGGCAGCACGGAGCATGCGCGGCGGGGGCGGGGCCGAGGCGGAAGTGGCAGAGCAGTGACTGAGGCGCGCTCGCCGGCGCCAGTCTGAGCCGGAGCGACGGCGGGACGGGCTCCGGGCGCGATGGAGGCGCCGGGGCTGGGCGCCCAGGTGAGCGCGGCGGGCGGTGCGGGGGAGGGCGGAGCGGGAGGTCGCGGACGCGGCGGGGCGGCCCTGTGCGGAGACCTGAGCTCGGTCGTCGCTGTTCGTGGGCCCGTCGTCCACAGCGTCCGAACCCGGGGACGGCCTCGCCTCGGCCGCTTCTGGACGGGCTGCGGGGGGCCTGCCCGAGTCGGACTTGGCCCAGGGCCCGCGGGAGCCCCGAGGGCCACGGCGCTGCCCTTCCCGGCCCGTCCCAGCCCGGGACTGCCGAGCACCACAGCCGCTGTTCCGAGTGGGAGCCTCTCTGGATCCCCGGGCCCTAGCGGGTGCTCAGCAAACACCTGCTGCCGCGACGTGCCTGCCTTGGCCGGAGAAAGCACGTCTCCTGTCCGTGGGTCCGGTGTAGATTTTCCATACAGAGATGATCACGTTGAACAGAACTTTTTCTATCCGGAGAGTGTCCCTCGGGCTTCCCTCAACTTCGTTGACCAGTTGGGTTTAGGTCGAAGTGGAGAACCGAGTGTGCTGGGAGATACCAAGGTGGTTTTATGGGGACTTGTTGCATTTTGAAAGAAACAAAAAGGATTTGCAGGTGGACTTGATTGTAAGAAGGGTGTAGACTCTGCACTGAATGTCTGGGGTGCAGACTCTGTACTAAATGCCCGGGCTGCAGACTCTGCACTGATTGTCCTGGGTGTAGACTCATTACTGAATGTCTGGGATGCAGACCCTGCACTGAATGTCCGGGGTGTAGACTGCACTGAATGTCCAGGGTGTAGACTCATTACTGAATGTCCAGGTGTAGACTCTGCACTGAATGTCCGGGGTGTAGACTGCACTGAATGTCCAGGGTGTAGACTGCACTGAATTCTGGGGTGTAGACTCTGCTCTGAATGTCTGGGGTGCAGACTCTGCACTGAATGTCCGGGGTGTAGACACTGCACTGCATGTCCCAGGTGTGGACTCTGCACTGAATGTCTGGTTCTCTCCTTGGCCTCAAAAGTTGGTAAGAGTCCCTGTCATTTCTCAGTTCCTGCCACACATTAGTAAAAGCGTGTCCACTCCTTCCTGCTGAGGGAAGGTGGCCCCAGTTCCAGGACTTCGGGAGAGAGAAGGTGATCCAGAGGTTGAAGCTAGTGGGTGACACAGGTTGTTTTTGTTGTTAGTAATAATTGCTGTTGTTAATTTCTTCATTTATACTGTGAAGAGCTTACAGTTTGTAAAAGCCCCAGTTCTTCATCTTCCCTAACTTGGGAGGTGGGAGGGGTGACTATTTCTAATTTGAGAAATGAGAATAGACTCAGGAAAGTGGAATCACATGGTTCTAGTCTAAGAGCAGCTAAGGAATGGAGCCAGGACTCCACATTGATCCAGTAGGTGTGTTTGGACCAGCTCCTGGAAATCAGGCTGTGTTCTAGGTGAGCAGAGCAGACAGAAGCAGCTCTTTTATTGCGTTTTGTTCACCAGTACAAATTCAGTGCTGATAGGCTTTGGCCAGCATTTCCCTGTGCAGTCTGCAGACTTCTGTCTTCTACTATTTGGTTTGTTGGGTCCAGCCCCGACAGCATCCCTCCAGGCCTTTGCACTTTGTGCTTTTGGGGGAGTATCTTTTGCTGTATCCACATGGCTTGCTTCTCCATCTCACAAGTGTCACCTCAGTGTAGCATTTTGTGACCCTCATATTTACATTAAAAGGGCCTTCTCCTCCCTCCCCTCACCTCCTCTCCCCCCCCCATCACTGTCAGCAACACTGCCTTCTCTCCTGACTCTCAGCATTTAACATACTTGGTGGTCTCTTTCCCTTCTGCTAAAAACAAGTGCTACAAGGACAGTGACTGTATCAGATCTGTTCACTGCTGTGTGCTGAGCATCTGAAATAGAGTCTAACTGGGGTTCAATTCATAGTGATTTGGAAACAGCTCTAATACTTCTATTAATATTGTGACAAATTTTAATGGTTATCTGTCATGCATCTCCACCTCCATTTTATTTGGTAGGATAGTGACCCTCATCAGAGCTTGAGTTTCTAGATCTTGGTTTTCTCTTAATGTCCATTGTAACTTCAAGAGTACTTACTATTTAAACAATAATTTGATTACCAAATATCTCCATATTCTCTTGAAGCTTAAAGATGTTCATGTTATCTGTTATAACAAACCACCCAAAAAACATAGTAGTGCAAAAGAGCTATTGTCATACTCACGGGCTCTGTGCGTAGGGAATTCAGACATGCTGGTTCAGGTTGGTTTGTTTCTATTCCACCCTGCCCAAAGTTCTGGCTGGAAAGACTCAAGCTGGGGGTGATTTGTGTCTGGGGCTGGTATCCTTCAGGGGTGTCATCACTCACAGGTCTGGCAGTTGATGCTGACTCTCAGTAGATACCTACATGTATCCTGCGCTCCTACATGGCATTGTAGCTGGATTCTAAAATAAGTGTGTCTTAAGAGACAGAAAGAGGAAGCTGCCCATTTCTAAGGCTTAGGTTTGCAAACTGACACAGATTCACTTCTGTAGTACTTAAAGAAGCACTTCACAGAGCTTAAAGAGAAACATACACCCTCGCCTTTTTTGTTCATTCCCTCTTCCCCCAGCAGCCGTCCGCTGCTAATAGTTGACCCTCACCTCTTGAAGTATGAAAGAATTTGGGGCCTATATTATAAGAAGTGCCACAGATAATATATCTGTATACCTCAAAGTTTTATATCTTGTTCAGCTTTTCCTCCTAACCCCTGTGGATGAGTATTCAGCTAGACTTATGTGTCTCTCTTGTTAATTGTTTCTTTTTCCCAGCTCCCTTGTATCTTAGTTAAAAACAAAAACAAACAAAAAAGTAAAACAGGGTCTTTGTGGACTGGAATCCTGTGTGAACCAAAGGTAAAATGGAATCAAGTCAGAATATTTAGAGCCAGAAGACATTTTAGTGAATTATCTAATTCAGAGATTTTTTTAAAAATTTGTATTATTTTTATCTTCTGTGTATTAGTGTGTTGCCTGCATGTATGTAAGTGCACCTGTGTTGTGCAGTGCCTTTGGAGGTCAGAAGAGGGCGCCGAATTCCCCTGGAACTGACATTATGGATGGTTGTTAGAAGCCATGTGGGTGCTGGGAATGGAACCTGGGTCCTCTGGAAGAGCGGGCAGTGCTCTTAACTGCTGAGCCATCTCTCCAGCCTCTAGCCCCTAGTTTAGAGATTATTAAACTGGTTTATAGGATTAGTTCCAGGGTGTCCATGAACATCCTGCAGTAAAATAATGTAACAGAGGCTTATTTGTATAAGTAGTCCTGTGCATTTCTCTAACTAGAAAGACCTTATTTTTTAATACTTTATTATTTTAATTTTATGTGTTTGAGTCTATTGCCTGCATGCATGTAAGTACACCTGTGTCATGCAGTGCCCATGGAGGTCAGAAGAGGGCGTCATATCCTTTGGAATTATGGACTGTTGTTAGCCATCACGTGGGTGCTGGGAACTGAACCCGGCAAGAGCAACCAGTGCTCTTCACCGCTGAGCCATCTCTCTAGCCCTGAAAGACCTAATTTTTAAGTAACATTTTCAGAAAGGGCTGTGACGTTAGGAAGACATGAGAGCCACTAATGTAGTCTAACCCATTCAGTTTTTCCATAAAGTTGAGACTTGGACATACTAACTTATTTCCCAGAGATCCACCGTAGGTGGCAGCAGAGTCCAGGTCTCAGGCACCTGATAAAGGAATTTTTTTTTCTTTTTTTAAAAATAATTTTATTGAGAATTTCATACATGTACATAGGTGTTTTGCTCAAATCCATGCCCACTCTCTCCCCTCCAACTCCTCCCATATCTCCCCATCACTTTTTTCTGATAACCCGATGAAGTGCTTGTTAAAATGTCTTCCGGTGTTCCAGTCATGTAGCAATCCTGTTTGCTTGGTTGCTGCCACCTGGAGTCTCCCCATTCTTCAATTCAAGACCCAAGGAGCAGTCTGTGTTGTTAAGTTCTGGGGACCAGAGAAGGAAGTGAGAGTAAATTCCTAGAAAACCAGGATTCTTGTCTCTTGTGCTTGTTGCTGTGTCCTGTGTCTGTCTGTCCTGGCCCGTGAGTAAATACCTGAGAAACGAATGAATTATAGCAGAAATTGGGTCTTATCGTGATTCTTATTTAACCTCGAATTGTGATTGGAAAGTAGATTTTCTTTACATTTTCTGGAATGAATGACTGATGAAAATTGAGTTCACTGGCATCACGAGAATTTGCTTAGTCTGTCTGTTGCCTTACCGTTGGAGATAGCCTTGTTACCCAACCACATCCATAAAGCGGTTTGTTCTACAGGGAGATCTTGACCAGTGTGCAAGTCAGCATTGAGTACTGTACAGCTCCTCTTAGGACTTTCCATCATGGAGCCACATGCAACTGAAGCCAAAATAGGGCTGAGGATTAGTCACCATCACACAGCCACGTGAGAGCCAGGAAGGCTTCAGTTCACACCTCTTTCCACAGTGTGAGAGAGGGATTAGCAGAGGCAGGAGTCAGTCTTCCTGCTTTCTGAGCCTGGGTTGCCTGTCTACTTCTGTGTGTCCTCACCCTGCTTCCTGACTTTCCTTCAACTTCCAGAAAACAAAAACTTCTACTCCCGTCTCTGAATGTGGGGGCCTAAGCTGGTTGCCAAATGCATCTTGTTATGGTTAGGCTGTCATCAGAGTTGACAGTATTTTTCCAAATTCATTCATTCATTAACAGCCCTTTATATACTCATGGCAAGATATGATTAAAGTTAGTGAATATAAATCTGCTTCAGATTAGCCTTTTTTGATAATTTTTAGTTTTTCTAGAGGGGAGTTGACTTGTAGGGTTGGATTATATTGCATTCGTTTATATTTCTTGTGACTGATGAAAAGCTCCTCTGAATAAGAGTATCAGCTTGCTGTTCTGTTGTTCATGCCTGTGTTGTTACTACCTCAATTCATGAATTCATTGCAAAAATCAGCTTAAAGCACTTGCTCATCTACAGAATAATTTACTTAAAATTAAATAA